ATTCTCCAGCATCTGCAGTTCCTACTATCTCTAATGTTCTGGGCACCTGGGTTTGAATCTCACCATGGCAGATGGTGGAATTTGAAAATTCATAGAAACAAATCTGGCATGAGGAGTCTAATGATGACTCTGAAGCCCTTGTAGATTGTCACAAAAATCCCACCTGGTTCACTAATGTCCTTTAGGGAAGGAAACTGCCATCCTTACCTGGTCTGGCCTACATGTGATTCCAGACTCTTAGCAATATGGTTGACTCTTAGCTGCCCTCTGGGCAATTAGGGATGGGCAATAAATGCTGCCTGGCCAGCGATGCCCTCATCCTGTGAATGAATAAAAGGGAAAAAAAATTCCTAATCCCATTCTCCACTGTCTTTCTGTTACCCATCATTCTGTCTCCAATGTTATTCAAATTCCTCGAACAGCAATGGTTTCTGTCTCTGTCACATCCATTTATGAAGGATTCCATGCCCCCCCAGCCTTCCAAGTGAAGAATGTTTTTCTGACCCCCAAATGTCCCACACTGTTCACTTTAAACTCATGGCCTCATGTTGCTGATTGCTAAACCGTTAAAAATAGCTTTATTAGTACAGTTTGTATTATCTGTGTCAAGGTGATTTTTTTTTTTTCCCCCAAAAAAGAGCAAGTGGAATGCTTTTCTTTATTGGATGAGGCATAGAATACAACAGCAGTGATGTACTGCTAGAGCTGTATACAATTCTGGTTAGGCCACCATTAGAATTTTGTGCACAGTTTTGGTCACCCAGGTCACAGGAAGGACACCATTGCTCTGGACAGAGTTCAGAGGAGATTTACGATGATGATTCGTGGCTTGAAAGTTGCAGCTATGAGGAACGACTGGATCGGCTAAGGTTGATTTCCTTGGAAGTGAGGAGGTAACTTGATTGAGATGTGCAAAATTGAGGGGTTGAGACAGGGGAGACAGATTTCCCCTGGGGAAGCAGGTGCAGATTTAAGGTGATAGGTTGAAGGATTAGAGTGAACGTAAGAAAAAAAAACTTCTTCATCCAGAGGGTGGTGAAAATCTGGACTTCGCTACCCAGTTTGGTATTGAGGCAGGGACCCTCAACCCATTTAAATATATCTGGACCCACACCTGAAATGCTGTAACCTGCAAGGCTACAGACCAGATATTCGGAGATGGGATATTTTTGGTTAGTGCAGATATGATGGGCTGAATGGCCGCTTTCTATGCCATAACTTTTCTATGGTTCTATCTTCTTGGCCTTCTCTCATTCAACAGAAGGGCTCTTGGTGTCTCAAGTCTCTACTCACAGCTATAGGTTCCTAACTCTGGGATCATCTCGGTGAATTTAAGTTGTACATGCTCAGCAATTTGAATATCCTAACCATAACTGAATTCACAAAACTGCCCATACTTAACTCTGGCACAACAATTTCCTTGTAGAGGATTAGGTGCTGGGAACATTGAGGGCTAGCCATACTCCACGAGGGCATGGCGGAAGCCATTCAAAATCAAATTGTAAATGAGGACTTTATCTTACTGCCCAAGCCAGGCTGCAAGGTAGCCCATTCCTTGTTAAACCCAAGTGGGGAACTGGGAAAAATTTGTTGCACATCCATAATGCTGACTTCAACTGGTGAGAGTCTGGTGGGAATATAGTCACTGTCTCTCTCAGTCATCCAGAAAGGTGATGTTCCATCACGCTAATTGTATTAAAAAAAAAAAGTACACAAATCAGTAAAGAACTATATATTTATATCAAATCTATTACAGGCTACTGTTAGCACCCAGTGGAATCAGTTTGATTTGCTCATTGAAGTTAGTCCATCAGTTGGATATAATTGTTTGAGATGAGCTGTCATCTTGCATTTTTGAGCTTTTTCATTTTTTTGTACTTCCACACTCTCATTAGTTTAATCCTCCATCAAACCTGCATAGCTTTCAACCATGTGTGATGTTTGACTGCTCCATTGATTAGTGCTGGCTCTAACTCATTAATAAGGCTAGGTGTCTGCACGCTAATTAAATGCAGCGGTGTTAAGTATTTCATTAACTGAAGTTAAATGAAAGATCATGCTTCCATTCTGTGATTTAAGCATTCTTGCAAATTCACACAATTGGTTTCAATTTTCTATAGTGAAAGTCATTTCTTCTTTGGGTTTCAAAGAGTCAGAATGTGTGATTGATAAGTGTCCAAGCCAACAAACTGATCATTTCATTGAATTTGTTGTAGACCAAGAAGTGCAAAGGTTAAAGATCGGATTGGATTCTTTGCTGGCCTCAAATGAAGAAAAGGTAAGGAATAACTTCCATATTCTCCCTAATCCTCGCTTTTTTTTCCACTTTCTCCCTCCTGTCCCACACCACAATGTGGAAAAGGTATTTCCTGACTTCAGGCTGAGAGGTGTTTTTAAGATTCTGTCCTCTCATGCAATTGTGGTTTAGTGGCTAGGATTCTTGTCTCTGAGTCAAAAGGTTGTGGTTTCAAGCTGCACTCCTGAAATCCGAGGACATGATCCAGACAGATACTCCCCAGTGCAGAACTGAGAGAATGTTGGAGTGATTGGAGGTTCCCTTTCAGAGAGAGAACACGTTGAACCAAAGTCCTGCTTGGCCCCTGAAAAAAAAATCTATACTATTTCAAAGAAGACCAAGGAGAGTTCTGATTAACATTTCCTTTATGACTCAGCAATATTTTAAAAACAAAAACAAAAACAGAAATGTGGCCTTTAATTATTGTTTGTGAGCGTTAGCTCAAAGAAAAATGGCTGCTGCTTGCCACATTACATTTCAAAATTATTCCCTTAGCTGTTTAAATAATTTGAGCTCTCCTGACATTGAGGAAAACATTTTCAAAATGCATGCCTTCCTTTTGTTGTGGAGTCTCCCAGTTTTCAAAGATGGTTTTATTCAATGACAGGACCATCGGATAGAAGAGTTGAGTCGCCTGTTGGCCCAGTGTAAAATGATGAAGCAGATGATAATGACTCAAGGTAAGGGAAGCGCATCAAGTTTCTATCTCAGATTATAGTCCAGCCGAATCAGATTTATTTTTGTCCTTTTTCACAACCACTTGGGCCAGTAGTTATGTGGACAGATTCTGAAGCTGTGATTCCAGGTGGGAAAGACCAGTGAGATGATGTTTGGAATTTATCGGAACCCATTAAAACAGGGGTGATGGCCAATAACTTGGGCAGACGTGCCAGTGTTAGATTGCTGGCATCAGAAAAGCTGTACGAAGGTAAGTTGGTGGCAAGTATGTTCTGACCAGGAACCACATCCATCAGTAGCAGTGTGTCAATTAGATTCATTAATAACCTTCTTGAGAGCAATTATCCCTGAGACCGCCGGAATTTAATGGTTGCTGAAGCATGTAATGAACTCCCATGACTCCCCAAACTGCCCAGAAAACCGTTGTCAGGTCTGCTTTGGCCTCAGGATCCCTCATATTCACAGCCAGTCAGTGCCCGAGCAAGGTACCCAATATCAGTAAGTATGAGGGGAGCACTGAAAGTCACTCTTCCTGCCCTTGACTCCACTGACCCTGCTCCACCAGCCCCCCATCATGCAATAGGGTGACCCCTCCTTGCAGTACCCATCCCGCCCACCACTATAACTTTTCTATTATTCCTTTTGGAAAGGAACACCACCTGTATATAGGCATCCATCAGCAATCTTCTCAGTTGGCCTAGAAACATTACCTGTAGCAAGAACCGTGCCCAGTGGTGCTGCCATCAGTGGAGGTGGCAAGCTTCTGGTTGGCGTTCCAATAGTTGGGAATTCCACCCCATTCAGGAACAAAAGCAGAAGTTGCTGGAAAAACTCAACAGGTCTGGCAGCATCTGTGAAGAAAAAAGAATCAGAGTTAAAGTTTGAGGTCCGGTGACACTTCCCTTCTAGCATCTGCAGTTCTTTTGGTTTTTATTTAGTATCCACCCCATTCAGGTCTTGATTACATGCAAGGCCTAAGTCAGACCAGATAGATGTCTGAGGATGCTTAAGTTGAATCAGGCCTCCCCCCAGAAGCAACATTAGTGTATCTCTAGTTCTCCACGCAGGGGAGGTGGACAGCCAATGTCTTTATCCATCACTGGTCAAATGTGTCATGTCTCAGGACATTTGTGTTCCCTCTCTAATCACTCTCCTCTCACTTCTTCCTTATAATTTATTAGCATTTTATTTCTGTTGCTGGAATGCATCTTTTCTTTTAAAAAAAAAAAAAGTCATTTTCTACATTAACTTAAAATAAATGACAGCAATTATCTGGCTCATTCCTCTTACAATGCCTTGATCAATCAGAGTCAACCTGCCTGGCTTACACTGAAACAAAGCTCGGCAGCTAACTGTCAATCATCACTAACTAGGGCATTCTCCATTGGCACTGTCTGTACCAATCAGTCTACTTGCCAACCACTCCAGTTTCTTCTCATGCAATATAAAATGTCGTTCCCCTTTTATATTTTCTTCTGAACAAATGTCCTGATGAGTGTAAGAGAACTTTTGACAATGCGTCTTTTTTAGCAGATTTCAAGTTCTGCACTGACAAACAACAATATTTTTCTTTGCTTAAATGGTCTTGTACTCCAGATGTTACAACAGGGAGTATAGTCAATGTTTTTAAGAGGTTTTCTACTGGAATGTTATTAAAATATGAATGGGTCCTGTTATGAGTTATGAGTTCACCAGGTAAAGACAAAGGGTTCCATGTGAGTGTGTCACTTTTTGCACCCAAGATAATTTATGGATGGGCCTCAGGAAAGTGTCAGTATTTATGGGGAGGTCCCCAAGAACAAATTGAGCATGAAGTTGTTAGGTTATCATAGAAATCCAACTGGTTCACCCATTTCCTTTAGTGAAGGAAACCTGTTGTTTTGAACCAGTTCACATCAATGTGGTTGATTTATAACTGCCCACCAAAGTGGTCTGGCAAGCTCCAGCGAAACCTTTATGTGGAATGGAATTGTGAGAGTACCTTGACCTCATCGCCTGTAGCTGTTCAAGGAGGCAGCTCATCAACACCTTCTGAATGGACAACCTTACATGACGTCCATTGCACAGGAATTCAGAAAATACAAGGTGCAACCCTACAATGAGCAAAATGAGGCAGTCGCATTTTAAAATAATTAGAGATAGTCAAATTGATTATTTCTTAACCAAAGAAATTTTTAGCAATGTCTAATTTTGTTTTATTTCAGGGTCTTCTGAAAGGATATTAATGGGGAGCAGTGAGGAAGAGTTAAGTGGCTGTTCAATGAATGCTACCCCTACTAAAGTGGCTCACTCCGAAGTAATGAGACCAGAGGTGATAATTATAATATTGCTTTTTAAAGGATGCCTCTATTTCAGTTTAAATGTATAAATAAAAAAACTTACTCCTTTATTGTTCAATAAACCCAACCATTTGAAATTTCTCTCTTGTTCCAATATAGGTCTCGCCCAATATCTCCTCATCTCCGGTAGGACCTCACCTGACACCAGTCGAGTTTGAAATGAGGTAAGGAAATTCAACTGTGAATTTGTTGTTGAGGCAGAGATCCTGAAAAGCCTCCAGGGAAGAGTGGATGGGTATTTGCAGCAAGAATGATAAACTCGGAAAGAGGAAGTGGTGTGATAATGGGATTAGATTTGTATTTATTTTAATTCACTTGTGGGACATGAGCATTGCTGGCTGGTTGCATTTGTGGCCTGTCCTAGTTTCCCTTGAGAAGGTGGTGGTGAGCTGCCTCCTTGAACCAAAGCAATTCATTTGCTGGATGTTGACCCACAATGCCCTTAGGGTGGGGAATTCCAGGATTTTGATCCAAAGATAGTGAAGGAACAGCGATATATTTCCATGTCAGGCTGGTGTGTGGCTTGGAGGCGAACTTGCATGCGGTGGTGTTAGAATGTGTCTGTTGCCCTTGTGCTTCTAGACAGAAGTGACCGTAAGTTTGGAAGGTGCTGTTTATGGATCTTTGAATTTCTGCTTTACATCTTGTGGATGGCAAATATTGGTATTACTGAGCGTCAGTGTTGGAGTGTCTGACTTTTTATGGTGTGGTGCCAATCAAGCAGGCAGGTTTTTCCTTGATGGTGTCAAATTTTTTGTGTTGCTGGATCTGCATTCACCAGAAAAATTGGAAGTATTCCATCACACTGCTAACCTGTGTCTTGTAAATGGTGGACAATCTTTGGAGAGTCAGGAAGTGAGTTACTCACTAGAGTATTCCTAGCCTCTGACTTGATCTTATAGCCACTCGATTTATATGGTGAGACCGCTTCAGTTTCTGGTCAATGGTGAACCCCAGGATGTTGCTAGTGGGGTATTCAATGATGGTAATGCCATTGAATGTCAAAGGGCAGTGATTAGATGGTCATTATCTAGCAGTTATGTAATGTGAATATTATTTGTCACTTATCAGCCCAAGCCTTGATATTGTCCAGGTCTTGCTGCATTTGAACATCAGTCTACAAGTAAGCAAGCTGGACTAAACAGTTTTCCTCCCAAATGGCCAAAGACGACATCATTACATCATGTGATTATATTATTAAAGTGACAGTCCAAAGTACTTACACAGAGATGCAACAGATCCCACACACCTCCCCCACTAAAACTTAACATCAGAGGCTCCTGCCATGAAAACATGTATAATTGTACATGTAACAATCAGTCGGTAAGACGTTCTGGTGGATGTTGATTCCGTGGCTGTTGTTGCACCTTGAGCTTATTTTTCTCATTGGTTTCTCTGGCCCTTCTCTTTTCCTCAGAAAACCTTCTGTGCTAGTTGTTCCACTTCACATTCAAAGTCAGCAGTTCTTTTAGGTGTTTATGTCATGTATTTCTTGGTAAATTGGTTGACCACCCCATTTACAATCACTGGCTCGAGTTTTCAAAGTCTCTTTTCCACATTCATCCTTTGTAATGACTTGATGAACTATCAATTTGTTTACAGTTCCTTGCTGAGATATTTCTAGTATTTCTAGACCCTGTCTAATTTTTTTAAAAATCATCTTTAAACCACTTCACCAAAGAACTAAGCTAAGATGTTTCACAGCTTAGTACAATCTCTTCACCTACTATCGCCACCAAGTTCTTAAGTTGCTTTGTGATTTCTGCTGGGTTTTTTTCTCCCCCACTATTGATGAGGTTTTCGAGCTGAGATTTTGCACATGGAAAATTACTTCTGCAGAATCTGAAGGAGCTGTCTCAGAAGTTATGCATTCAAAATGTCAATTTTCACTTCCTCAAATCACTGTTCTCTAGAGAGTTTGTGATTCCAGTGTTCAGATCTTGGATGGCAACCATAGCACTTGCTTGGTTTTATTCAGGTCATGTACTAAAAGATAGTGTTTTTCCAGCATGCAGTAGTTCATTTGTTCAGATTTTTTCCAGATAGAATTGACTTTGGGTTTCACCATTTTCCACTCCAGGGTGATCATTCCTTTCTCTTCAACAACAATGTCACCCTAGAATTTCGGCAAGACTGCTAGCCTTTCTTTCACTTTAAAGGAAGCTGTGGCCTGTTGATCTCATAAATCACAGGTACATTATCCTGTACCTTCCCATTTCAGATTGTAGATTTATAGTTCACCAGTAGAACCTACCAGTGTTATTTCATATATTTCACTGGGATGAAGTACCACAGTCCCTTTCTATGGAAGCATTGGGCTTAGTAAGCACGCAGCAGAGAATGGTGGTGCTACCTTCACCAGCTTCCTTGTTCTGAAGCATTGGTTTGAAAAGTACCAGAAGGGCATTAAACTTCAATGAAGCACAGGTTTGTTTGACTCTGATGTTGCAACTGTATTTTCCACTACCCTGTGGTTTACGTTTGTGAATAAGCAGCTTAACGATGGATCCTTTTACTTAATTTTGTATTTGGCACTCGACTGAAGTGGAGTGGATATGTTTATCTGTGTACCGCTATATCTACTGATGTCACAACGCAGGATGGCAGTATCATCCTCTTGAGCTGCTTCATCCTTAAGCTTTTGCTTGAAGGTCAGAGGCAAGGCTGCAACCGTCAGGTGAGCTCTTGATTGTGCATTACCAATGTCACAGGTATAGTGATCATTGTCAATCTCTTCAAGCAGAATAATTGTAAGGCTTAATAAAGTTCCATCCTGGTTCAATTCATTCTTATTTGGTTGGATTTCTCTCTTGACCTTTGGCCTGATTCCATAAGGCACTGGTCTAGCTTAGAACATAGAACACAGAACATTACAGCGCAGTACAGGCCCTTCGGCCCTCGATGTTGCGCCGACCTGTGAAACCAATCTGAAGCCCATCTAACCTACACTATTCCATTATCATCCATATGTTTATCCAATGACCATTTAAATGCCCTTAAAGTGGGCGAGTCTACTATTTTTGCAGGCAGGGCATTCCACGCCCTTACTACTCTCTGAGTAAAGAACCTACCTCTGACATCTGTCCTATATCTATCACCCCTCAATTTAAAGCCATGTCCCCTCGTGCTAGCCATCACCATCTGAGGAAAAAGGCTCCCACTGTCCACCCTATCTAATCCTCTGATCATCTTGTATGTCTCTATTAAGTCACCTCTTAACCTTCTTCTCGCTAACGAAAACAGCCTCAAGTCCCTCAGCCTTTCCTCATAAGACCTTCCCGCCATACCAGGCAACATCCTGGTAAATCTCCTCTGCACCCTTTCCAATGCTTCCACATCCTTCCTATAATGCGGTGACCAGAACTGTACGCAATACTCCAAGTGCGGCCGCACCAGAGTTTTGTACAGCTGCAACATGACCTCATGGCTCCGAAACTCAATCCCTCTACCAATAAAACCTAACACACCGTATGCCTTCTTAACAACGCTATCAACCTGGGTGGCAACTTTCAGTGATCTATGCACATGGACACCGAGATCTCTCTGCTCATCCACACTACCAAGAATCTTACCATTAGCCCAGTACTCTGTATTCCTGTTACTCCTTCCAAAGTGAATCACCTCACACTTTTCCGCACTAAACTCCATTTGCCACCTCTCAGCCCAGCTCTGCAGCTTATCTATGTCCCTCTGTAACCTGCAACATCCTTCCGCACTATCCAGAACTCCACCGAGTTTGGTGTCATCCGCAAATTTACTAACCCATCCTTCTACGCCGTCATCTAGGTCATTTATAAAAATGACAAACAGCAGTGGCCCCAAAACAGATCCTTGAGGTACACCACTAGTAACTGAACTCCAGGATGAACATTTCCCATCAACCACCACCCTCTGTCTTCTTACAGCTAGCCAATTTCTGATCCAAACCGCTAAATCAGCCTCAATCCCATGCCTCCGTATTTTCTGCAATAGCCTACCATGGGGAACCTTATCAAACGCTTTACTGAAATCCATATACACCACATCAACCGCTTTACCCTCATCCACCTGTTTGGTTACCTTCTTTGCAACATTCACATTGATACAACCCCTGAAAAGACACCACTTTGTCTGTATTCATTCTTATTACAATTTTTGAGGGTTGCTCCCAATGTGTCCACTCCATTCCTACTGATTTCCCATTTAGTAAAAGTATCAGTTGGTCTCACCAGCAACGGCTAGCGTGTTTAATAACAGCTCTTCTTCGGACTGTAAGTCTCAGCTTTTCTTTTTGTACCATCCAGGTTCTCTTCCTAGGTTTGATTTCTGCATTTTTGCTGCATTTTGTTCATGTTTCTTCCTCAAATATGAGGAATGTTCAATGTTTTTTTTTCCACAGTTTCTGCATACAACATCTTTATATCAGCAATTTGCTGCTGCATGACCTCTTTTTCCACTCCAATGGCAGTTTTCAGTCTGTGTTGCTGCTTGTCTCTCAGCTGGCTTTTGTGTGCACTCACGCTCGAGCCTAGCTGTTGTGCTTCCTTAGCTGCTAGTTCCATTGAGACAGCTATTTCCGGTGCTTTCTTTAAGTCTTGGATCCTTTCCATCAGTAATCTCTCCTGATTTTTTTTTCACATCTTAAACCACACACCGGTCTGTCTCTGGTAGTGTTATTTAAGTTGTTTCCAAATCCACAGTATGGTGCTGCCATCTTTAAAATTGCTGCAAACTGGGCAATAGATTCATCATCATGCTTGTTACGTCTAGTGAATCTGAATCTTTCAGCAGTCACCAATGGTTTTGGCGAAAAATGGTTCGGTAGGATTCCTATTGTTTCTTCTTAAGTTTTTGAACCCAACATCTCTGTACCAGAGATAACAAGGTATAGAGCTGGATGAAAACAGTAGGCCAAGCAGCATCAGAGGAGCAGGAAAGCTGACCTTTCGGGTCGAGACCCTTCTTCAGAAATCATTGCAACATTGCTTCAATTTGGTTAGCTTAAACAAAATAAATAAAGTCTCTCTCTGTATAGGAATTCCAGATTTCTGAATTTTCTTCATACGGTTCCACGGCACCAAAGTTTCCTGCCATTTTAAAATGGAAAATGTCTATGTAGCGTGGTGTCCCACAGAAACTTTAGCGCTACCATCTTCCAATTTAAAACAATGTATTTGTGAGGCTGCCTCTCCTTCACTTAATACTTTTGTGTCTATACTCTTGGCTCAAAACATATCCCTTTGTGAAGGGTATTCATTCCTGTTCCTTCAGGGTGGAGAGTATATGGTGAGCTTCTCCTTCACTTAATACTTTATTTTATCCACACTGACTGTACCTATCATTTCCTCTTTTTCAAAGTGCCTCTGATATCCGTCGTGAGGACCACAATTTTTAATGAATTAGGGGATTTATTAAGAAGGCATTTCACTCTAAAACGCAGCAAGCTATGATAAACTGTTTCCCTCCAAAATGGCTGATGATATTACCATGTCACATGATTGGATTATTAAAGTGACAATCCACCTACGTAAACACACAACAGGAGAGTCATTGAAGCAGCTGAAGGTATTTTGATTGCTCGATCATAAGCTATCACAAGCGATCAAAAGCTTGATCAGAGAGAGATTGTAAGGAATGTCTTAAAAGAGGAGCCAGACATACAAAGGATTAGGAAGGAATTCCAATGCTTGTGATCCAGGAAGGTCTTCCACCTAAAAGGACGATGGTAGCAGGTACATGGAAATGCGTCCACATGCAAGTTCCCCTCCAAGCCACTCATTGTCCTGAGATGGAAATATATTGCTGTTCCTTCAATATCACCACTACACACACTACTGCTACCCCCAACACCACCTCTGTGCCCATGGCATTGTGGGCCTACCTAATGCATATGGACTACAGTTCAAGGAGGCAGTTCACCACCACCTCTTCAAGAGAAACTAGTTATGGGCAATAAGTGCTGGCCCAGCCAGCGATACATGCATCACATGAATGAATAAAATAAATGCTCCTGAACTGTTGAGATTTTCACATTTTCTGTTTTGCTTTCAGATTTCTAGGACCTTCCAACAATTTGTTTTTGTAAGATAGCGAGCCCACTTTGCTCTTTAACTAGATCTGTGAAGGGTTTTCATTTGGACCCCCACTTATGTACAGACCTTGCTCAATTTTTGTACTTCCTGCACATTTCTGTTTCTTAAATCCCACAGGATACAACCACGACAGACCTCAGCCAGCTTAGACGAGCTGAACAGTGGACAAACTGAGAAGGTTAGAGCACTGGCCATTCACACTAATGGGTTTGCGAAATAGTCTTGAGCTCAGCTCTCTCTTCCTGTCTTTAGCAGGATAATTAAAACTTAAAAGGTGTATCTGAAGTGATTAGTGATGGGAACACAAGACTGACCTGGAATAAAAAGACAGGTGACATTTTAAAGCAGTACCACAGGAACTCTGAGACTAGGCCACTGGAGCATTGTTGACAAGTGTGGCCTTAGTTTATGATTTATCCCTCAATACTCTACTGGGACCCTCTGTTGATTTTGTGGCCAAACCTCTCGAATGAAGTTTGTATCCACAATAGATTGTTTAGATGCAAACATTGCCTAAAAATTAGGGCAAGGAAATGTCTTCCACAAACACCAGTTTCTGCTAGGTCAGTTGTTATTTTAAGTCCAATATAGACTTTTTTTTTGTTAAGCAAAGGTATTAAGGGATACAGGCCAAAGAAAAGTATATCGAGTTTGGCCGCAGGTCATCCATAATCTCATTGAACAGCAGAAAAGGCTCGAGGGACTGAATGACCTACTCCTGTACCTATGTTACTATAATCTTGAAATAAGAGCTGGACTATTCTGGCGTTAAATCAGGAAGCACTCTTCCATGCAAAGTCGTGAGAGATCTTGAACTCTGCCCCAAAAGAACTGATGATACAGTATTTCCCTTGGTGATTCTTTGGCATCTCTATTGGTGCGCCACCCATTTACCCAAGCACTACTCATAGGATCAGACCTTCTACTTCCAACAAAGCATTCAAAACTGATTGTCATTTGTATCAATGTGTATTCCAATTTTGTGTAGCAAAGCTATCTGTGCATACTAACAAGATGTCAATATTAATTATTTTTCATCAATCCATACTCTTGCCTTTCTCGCCTCCTGCATATCAACAGCTATCAGACTTGGAAAAAGAAGAGTCTGCACATTCTGAGGTAGTAACTCATTTACTTAACCTCTAACGTCCATTTTCCCACTCCTATTTGCTGATGTATTATTGTTCTTTCACTTCATTGTCTATATGTGTGTGTGTACTTTATGGAAAAGTGAGTCTTGAAAGTAGTATTTCAAACTTGGAGGTACTCCCTCCTCTCTGAAATCTCTGGAATATTTTAACACAGCATTAATTTATTTCTGTCTGTTCTGTAAACTGACTGTTTCTGACAAAGCCCTTTTTTTTTCTGTCCTCACTCCTACTCGGGATATCGGCCTATTATGTAGGATGATTATTGACCATCTCTAGTTGTCCTGGTAACATGATGGTGGGCCTTCAGCATGAACCACTGCAAGCGGTTTTTTTAATATAGATGAGTGGCATGTTAAGCAGTTAAGAGTCAACAAAGTTAGTGTGAGATTGAGATAATATTTAGATCACACTGGGAAAGGATGAAAATTTATTTTTGATCAAGTGTATTAGTCAATCAGTTGAATTATTACAACAATCTGATTAGATTTCAATCTCAAATATTTTCAATGGCTTTCAAATTCTCAGTTAAGAGTTAGATCCATGTTCTTTGGATCACTAGTTCAGTAAGGTAACACAACACTCCTGTAGATGGACAACGAGCATCTTTTCAGAATGCCTGGATAAAAGAGCTTTTATGTTCTCTTGTACTTCCAATAATAATTTTATTGAAATGTGTTCACTGTTATATTGTGCAGAAAAGCAATTTGTTGCAGAGCGTAATCCCACAACATTTAAAGTTAAGGTGCATTTTGGTCTGATTGCATCCTTGCTGCTGAGAGGATATTTCCCAAAGCTGGAGATTCTGGAATCTGGGGGGTACAGTCTCAGGGTGAGGGGACAGCCTGAGTTGAATTTGAAGTTCAGTAACAAACGTGCTGAATGGCAGAGCAGGCTCAAGGGGCAGTATGGCTTATGCTAATCCTTGTTCTGATGTTTCTTCTGAATGGACGCAGAAGTTCCAAGCAGTTGAAGAACCGATGCATCCTATAAAGAAGGAGACAGAACCAGCATTCCTGTATCACGTTGTTGAACCTAAGGCCATTCCAAGACACTTCACAGGCAGTGACACGGTTTTGAATTGTAGGCGACCAATTTTCTATTCGCTTCCTACAAGCGGCAATGTGCCAATGACCAGAATAGCTTCCTCCTCTTTGCTCATGTTCGTTGAGGGGTTTTAAGATAGTGGGGAGAAATGCAGGATGGTCATTTCCGTAAGTGGCCTAAGTGTATGTCCATGATTTGGTATATTTGCATGGTTCTCTATTAGGAGTGTAGAATATGCTCAGTCTCAGGCTTTCTGGCCATGATCTCAAGTGATGAGAGGTTGCAGAATTCCCTCCCTTCCATGTCAGCAGTTTTCCTTCCTCCTGATGACATAGGATCCCAGTTAAGAATCTTCCCTGAGCCACTTAAGGCTGAAACTGCAACATGTTAACCCCCATTACCTTAGCCCCTGTGATTTGAAGAACTGCAAAGGGTAGCAATTGGTATGGCTTGCACCTGTTTTCCTCCGAGCCCAAAGTCTACCAATTTAGCAATGTTTATCCCACTGTGAAGTTTATGGGGCCCGATTACCTTCAGATGCTCTAGACTGGCCTCTAAAATGGACATTGGGCTCCTCAAATAATTATATGAGGGATGTGACTCTCTAAATGTAATTCATAATCAGGGCTATTTGTTCATCCTCGTGAGCTTTGTATAGCATTACTACGCAGGACCATAAGGGAGATCCCAATCCTATTTGAGAAATAAGGCCCTAGCTGTCATCCATGGTGTATCTATTAACTTCAACAACCAGGAAGATCCAAAGAGCTATAAATCTAGAAAGCCAGCCTTCACCACAACTGACCACCTAATGCTCCTGCAAATGAGAGTCTACTCTAGGACTGTTGCAGCATTCTGGAGCTTCACCATCCAGCAGATTATCATGAGGGATCTTCACAGGTTTTTAACTGAAGCAGAGATTGCATTGTACAGAAAGTAATTGTTCTGATAGATTTCACTTGGTCCATATAATCTTACGAACTGGCTGATGGATCAGTGAAGAATGTTCCAAAGTATTTCTTTGCCTATTGACCCTTGGTCATAATAGGACATTGTAGTAGCCTTGATGAACCAAGTCAACTTTGAATGCATCTTCATAATGGTCCAGTATTTATTAGGCATCTGTTGTCTTTGTATGATAGAACAAGCCATACCCGAGTAACAGCAAATACCAGACCCTTCCAGGGAAACTTCCACAGTCTAATCACCAGGACAACTCTGAACAGTTCCCACCGAAGCAGAAAGTGACTACTATCCCAAACACGCCACCTATGAGCCTGGTAGACTTGGAAAACACCTCCGTCAATCTGAGTATGTATCATCGGTAAAATTCACTTCCCTGTGTTTGTAGATGTTTGCACTACAGGAGGTAGTCAGTCCGCTTATTGTGCTTGCGCTTGTTCTTTTGGAAAGGTTAGCCTAAAATTGCTGCAGCTCAGAAACTGGCCAGTTATGTGCTCAGGTTCTGGAGGTGGGGGAGGGGGTGTTTGCGTCAGTGTTTTACATGTTCTGTTTACCGGGGCTCAAGGAGATGGAAGGGACAGTGAATGAGCATTGAATGGTGTGTGTTCAGGAGGGGCAAAAATACTCAAACAACTCATTAAATAACAGAGGCTGCTATGTGTGCAGCTGTTTCCAGATGTCCCAGTGAGCTGCTCACTGAACAAGTTTTACATGTCAGTTGTGCTGAAGGGGTATTGGCATGCAAAGTGAATCTCTTTTAAAAAAAAAATTTATCTGTAATGGAACAGTAGCTGCATGTTTCAAAAACGACTGAAAAACTACCTTTAAGATGTAACAAAAGAAGCTTGGTTTTCATATTTGTGAAGGACACTGAGATATCCTGGCAGGGAGAGAAACAGAATTTGTAATAAGTTTCACAATTGGCAAGCATCATTGCTTGAAAAGAAAAGTTGCTTATTGGGTAGTTGGGGAGTAAATGGGGATGAGTGAGGTATATATTTTTACAAAACTACCGCAGAAACAATGGGCCAAATAGCCTCCTTTGGTGCCGTGATATTCTGTTGTAAATTTTCATCTTCAGTAGTTCAACAGGACAGATTATGCACTCTCTATAAAACCCTGACTGACTTTCATTGCTGTGAAGAATGCATAGAACCAAAACTCTGTGTATGTGTATGTGTATGTGCGTGTGCATGTGCATGTGTGTTTAGATTAATTGTTTTACCATCCTCCCTCATTTTATTACAAAACCTTTCTAGAGCATGCATGTCCCTTTATTCCTTTATGAAATTATCAATCTAATTTCCTGTCAATCAGGAGGCGAAATGGCCTAGACCTGTTTCCAGGGCTAGAGACATCTATCTTTAAATTAATTGGAACAAGAGTTAATCATTGAATCTACAAATGGAATAAACAACCACAATGATGTGTGCTCAATTTGGCCTAACAAAATAAAGAGAGAATAGACTTCTGTTGACAACTACTTTAAGGCTTTAAAAATAAATAGTAATGGCACTCATTTCATAAATAACCAAATACAGGTCAGGTTTCATCGATTTTGTGCTAACAATCACCACTGTACTGTGACAGAATAACCCAATGTTCATCTAATTATTTCTGCTCTTGGGTCTCGCACTGTTGGCTCTGGATTTGGCTGGTGCTTCTGAAATTAAGGCTCAAACTATGAGACATCATTTCAAAATAAGAGGTCACCCATTTACAATGCAAAAGGTGAGAGTTTTTCTCTCTGAATTGAGTGTATCGAACTCATCCCAACAGAACATTGGAGGAAGGTCATTGAACATTTTTAAGGCAGAAGTGCATACTGTTGACTAACAAGGGAGTCAAAGGGTGTCAGAAGTAGGTGGGATTGTGGAGTTGAATGGCCAGCTCCTAATTCAGATATTCATGTGGATTGTTTACATGAACAACTTTAAACTAAGATCAAATTTTACTGGATGAAGTTCAGGGATTTCTAACTGTTTTAACTGTTAACCGATTTTTACCTGGATTGTAGTGTTTTGTCTTTCCCATTTTACCTTATGGAAAGCCTGAATTAGAGACCCGATTAATTACAGAAGTTAAACAGAATTTGGCAGGTATTATATTTCATTCATTTTCAGAATATGCCACTGGCAAAGCCTGCATCTATTGCCTATCATCCCTTGTTATCCAAAGTTCAACCGTATTGATGTGACATTTGAAGTATCTATTGGTCCAGACCAGGTAAAGATGGCAGTTTGCTTCCTTTGAAATACACCTTTCTCAATAATGTCATTTTGGAAAGTAAAACTGTCATCCTTACTTAATCTGATTTTTGTTTGTCCAGATGAATGGTCTGTCCTCTTAAATACTGTAGCAGGCCACTCACTTATATTCAAGAAGATAGTTTATGACCACCTTCACTAGGCCAATCAGGGATGAACAATAAATATTGGCATTATCAATGACACCCACGTGCTATGAATTTGATTACTTTTTTTTTATGGTGACTTCTATTGATACCAGATTCTTAATTTTTTAAGACTATTACATTTCACAAACTGTCACAGTACAATTTTTGAACACTCGTTCTTGAGAAGACTAGTCCAAGCTCTTGGATTCCTAATTGAAAGAAACAGTACACCACTGCAGCCTGACCTGCTGTTAAAGTTATCAATATATACTGAATGTTTTCATCTTAATTTCCCAAAAAAGGATTTCTGCATTGATATAAACCAGCTTGCTTGTGTTTACCACCCGAGTGCATCCACGCATTCAAAATGCTTACAGAAAATGCAAACTGTCCTCAAACCTTGCGCAAATATTTTCATGACCAGACTTGATTTCTGCCCATCAGACTGTTGGAAAAGAGAATGCCGAGCCTCCTGGTAAATGGGATGTTATCATAGACTATACGTTGCCTGGTATGTGGTATCCACTTCCTGTCCATCAACATGATGTCACGGTTTTTCTGTCATGATGTGCTGATGGCATCTGCTATTGTACATTGCTATGTCAACATCTCCCATTCATTTACTATGCTCATTGTCACAACTTAGTTGCAAGCTCTGGCCACTGTGTAGTGCAGTATAGAGTGAGTTTCTCTAACCTCTCTTAAACGTTGTTGCCCAGAGGTCAGAAGAAACATTGAATTTGTAACACTGATAAACGCATTACAATTATAAGTGCAAAATTGTTAAATAAAGATGCTTTGTTCTTGATTGGAATTAAAGGCTTATTGGCCAGAAGTGAAACCATGTACCTAACTGACTATCCTCTTGCTATTACTGGGCTTCAGATTTAGGTGTTTTAGCCCTGTGATTTACTGGCCCTATTGCAGCTTGTTTTCTTTTGTTTTGCATGGGTTTTGCTGCTTCTGTTTGTTTTGTCATCTTTTTAACTCTTCCTCCCTGCGGCAAATCTTCCTTTCTCTACACGTGACTTGCTACTTTTCGGGATGGTTGAAGATCGCAACAGGAGCGCCAGTGCTCCAACTTTAGGTACTGTATTCAATGACCACGAAGCACTACTCGTGAGGTTTCTGCTTTTTGTTTTCTAGTCAATGTAAAATGTAGCACTTCTGTCAGAATAAATGTCAAGTTGGTGTCTGCAATGGAGAACGAGGGGAATGTTTCATTTGTGATCTGGAAAATTCGATTAGAATATATGGACTTTTGATGCCAAGTATGGAAACAATGGGCCAAAGGGCCTCATGCTATATTAGTTAGATACAGTTACACCAATACTCTAACGTGTGCCAAGTCACTTTCATCCGCCAGCCCTGTCGTTGAACCACATTGGCTCTCTGTCCTCAAATGACTGTTTTAAATTTCTCCTGCTCATGTGTTCCTCACCCTGTCTCTAATTTCTTCCAGCTCTGCTACCTTCTGCTCCTCCAATATAGGCCTCTTGTTGTATCAATTGTGTTTTCTTAGTTGTTGGCCAGGCTATCAACCAGCTTGATTCCCTCTGCAATTCCCTCCGTAAATATCCGTACCTATACTCCTTTTAAGATGATCCTTAAAACCTATATTTTTGACCAAACAATTGGTCATCTGTTCTAATGTTGTCTTTATTGGCGTGATGGTGTTTATTTTCATGTGATTACACTCCTGTAAAGAGGTATTATACAAATGCAGTGGCCATTATTGGAACAGAGTGACTGGAGTTTAGTTTTCACTGGGAGAAAGTAGTGGGAGAAAGAGGAGCCATTGGCAGTTAGTGCTGGTCACAGCCCAGGCTGTGAGCCTATTGCAGAGTACCTGCCCAACCTGTCAAGCGTAGATCAGTTAGCCCTTCAGGTGCTGTCTTGTTCAGATACACGTGGCATTTAGGAGATCTAAGAAGCCACAGTTTTGCTAACTTGGATGTCGACCAGCAAATAACTCACCAGCATTAATTTATCCGGAGTTCTGGTGAGTATGCAGGCAGCTCTCCAGATATTTAGATCCAAAAGTGCTCTTTTCTGTTCCAAATATTCACATTGGCCAAGCTCACTGCCATGCATCAACTCCTCCATTCAGATTGGTTGCTAAACTTAGCTTCTATTTCATTCTCTGAACTGTTTCTAAAACAGGCAAGTGGCTGTGATTTGCCGAGAGATTGACACCTGCAGCTGCTTTCAAGATAGTTCAAGGACGAGGGTAGAATTAAATTAGGTGGGATATTAAAAGTTATGGAGAGTGACAGGACTGAGATTAGACTGGGTATAGTATTAACTGGAAAGGGGAGTAGAATTAGGGTGCATGTGATATTAAATGATATAAGAAGTTGGATTCATTTCAATTAGATTTTACAGCAAGAGTGAGATTATATTGGGTGGGATATTAAAGGGTTAAGATGCAAAAGGATATAGGGATGAGAAAGAAAATGGGATTAGATCGAGTGGTTAAATTTAAAGTTAACTAAAACTCTGCTGCTCAGTATCCTGAGTTGCACCATCCTGTTCAAACATCACTCTTGAGTTCCATTGGCTCTCGATGTTAAAATTCACACCCTTGTTTCCAAATTCCTTCATGACTTTACCCCCTCGCTATCTCTGCATTTACCTCCAGCCTTACAACCCTCTGAAAATCTCTGCTTTCCTAATTCTGGTCTCTTGAGCCTCCCTGATTTTAATCACTCCACCAGTAGCCACTGCCTGTGGCTGTAAGCTCTGGGATTCCTTCCTACACTCCTACATCTTGCTATCTCACTTTCTTCCTTTTAAGGCACTCCTCAAACTTGTTGACCAAGCTTTTGGTCATCTGTCCTATTGTCTCATTATGGGGCTCAATGTTGCATTTTGCTTCGTAAGTACTTAAGGTGATTTGCTATGTTAAAGGTGTTTTATGACAAGTTGTTACTTATTTATGTAAGTGCTAGCCAGTTGTGATTCTTGACAATATTACACGGCAGCTAGCAGTTTTGGGCCACCATTCTGAAGAAAAGGGGATGGTAACTGTCCCTCTTGTAGGTTTCCATGTACCGGCCAGTCATGGGAATTTTTAATAACCTTGTCCATCCACCAAACTTGCAATCCACGTGAGAGATTTAACATCTCAGCAAAGATGGGCAAGAAATGCTGTGCAGCCAGTGATGCCCACATCCCACAAACGAATAGAGAATGTGTAGCATTTCCTCAGTACTGAATTGACAGCGATTAGCCAGGTGGACTGTCCTGGAATTTGTTCTCCTCTTCCAATTCCCAGATGCTGTTTAATTTCATCTTTCCCTTCTTTTGACGCTGCCTGGTCAGTGTTGTCTGCATGTATGCACCCTGCGCGTGCCCAGTCTAGCAGTATCACATTGCACATGGAAGGAGAGCAGGGCTGTGCCCACTGGACTATACCAGCCCCACTGACCCTGACAAGTACCTTTTGAAATTTGAGGGAGTTTCCATGAGATGGGGACGGGGAAATATCCAACTCTGTGGGGGTGAGAGGGTGGATGGTTGGTGAGGGAGGGTTCTGGGCTGGTGGTGTCTCTCGATTCTGACTCTATTGCTGTGTCGACCTACCAAAGTACTGCAAAGTTAGATTCGGCAGCAGATGTCTCAGGCTGGTGGGGCGTGCATCCAGCAGCCTGGTGCATTTCTGGCAGTGCCGACAACGAATTGGAGAGCTGTACAGGCAAGCCTAGAGTTGGGTGGTCCTGATGGGAGAGAATTGCAAGTTGCTGCATAGGTGGGTGTATGTGAGAGAGACCTTTTTATTTTTGGGAGGGAACGTGCTTTTTGAGCCAAACCGACCACTCCACTGATCTCATCATCAAGCCCTTGCCTTCACTGGCCTCAGCACCAGCCACCACCCCTGCCCACACCCACCCTTTTATACTCACTGCTGTTATTTGCTTGCTCCCAGAGAAATCCACCTGGGTGATCGCCTACATTTTATGCTCAAGTCTGAGGTGGGATTGAGATCCATGACCCAAGTGAACGAGAGTGCTGTTGACTAGCTACAGCTGGCACTACTGTCAGCAGAGTATTCCAGTCAGAAATCATTATATTTGCACCCATTAATTTCAGTTGCTATTATCTCACTGCGTTATGACTTGGGTGAGCCTGTTACTGGAGATGGTGACAGAACAGCTGTTTAGACAGAAAGTAAATTAATTCCATGTTGCATTTGGCTATGCTTGTATTTCACTCCATGTTTTCCACGTTTAGGAGAGACTGAGAGAAGTGTTGACTCCACTTTTAGTTCGCCCAACCTTTCACCTCTGTCCTCAACCACTGAAACTGATCAATTTCCTTCAATATCCCCCGAGAACAAAAAGAGTAGCAAAGGGCTCAAGAAATTCCTGGGAAGGTGAGTCATTTGAATTTGAAGTGTCTCTATTGGATGGTTGCGGTTTGACTAATAATGCATGTAGTTTTAGTTCCCTGACAACAGGGGACTTCTCCCTGTCTTCGCAATAATGGTGTAAATTCTTTAAGTGAATATCGAGTGGCTTGACATCTACAGTATGTGGGCAGTGCTCCTGATAAAGCTCTGTCTGTTGGCCATTCTTGAAATACAAATAATTTTTGCTGTAATGGTGGGTGTTAAGGCATTGCTAGGATGACTGGAGAAAGGTTATCTAGTTAGAGCAACACTCAGAAAAAATGTACAGCAGAGAAGGCCATTCAGCCCATTATGTTTATGATGCCCATTTGAAAGAAGTATTCAATCAGTCCCACTTACTCTGCTTTATCCTCATTTATTAACAATATTTTCCTTTCTGAAAAAAAAGATAAATACTTAAAATGTTGATATATCTGCTACTCTCGTTTTAGGCAGTTTATTGTAAATCATTATTATATACTGCATAAAAAAAGTTCCCCGTCTCTTGTTTTATTTTGACAATTACCTGAAAGATTTGTCTTCTACTTACCCTTTCCCACCCTCTAGGTCTAAGGGGAGAGGAATACACTTAAATGCAAAGCAAGCTGCACTAAACACCACTGTTTCCTTAAAGTATTGGTTGATAGGTTACATTATACCTTTTGGTTATTGCACTTTATTAGGACTTGAACAATAATCAAGGCTGACTTTCCAGTGCAGCACAGAGAGTGGGCTTAAACTGAGAGGTTTAATTCACCAGAATTTATCATCCAGGTTAATCTGCCACGTCATCAGAGACTACAATTCCAGGTTTTGTTCAGGTTGTGTATTGTCATGCCTTAAACTTCTTGCTCGGATGCTTGTTTTTGAAAGATATGTATTTATCTGACACCTTTCATAACCACAGAATGTCTCAGGACGGGAACAATTTAAACTGTTTTATCTGGTTTCTGTAGATAAGAAACGGCTGTTAAAGGTTTTTAAAATGCTTTTCTTTCTTTGTCTTTTTTCGTTCTCTTTGATTTTCTTTTCCCTGCAACTTTTCTCTTTCTAGATTGGATTCGACTGTAGTTCACCCTCCTCTTCACTATTGTACTTTTGACGTTTCTCAATCCTTAAATCACATTGCTTAACAAGATGAACAGAAGATCTCAGAGTCATACAGCATGGAAACAAACCCTTCAATTCATCTCGCCCATGCTGACTAAGTTTCTCAAACTAAACAAGTCCCATTTGTTTGAGCTTAACCTATATCCCTCTAAACCTTTCCTGTTCAAGTACCTGTTCAAAAGTCTTTTTATATGTTGTAACACTACCTGCATCTACCACTTCCTGTGGCAATTCATTTCGCATTCGAATCAACCTTTATGTGAAACAGTTGCCCCTCAGGTGCCCTTTAAACCTTTCTCCTCGCACCTTAAAATATACCCTGTAGTTTTGAACTTCCCTACCCTAGGGAAAAGACCTTTGGTATTCATCTTATCTATGCCCCTCATGATTTTATAAACTTTTTAAAGGTCACTCCTCAACCCCCTGCACTCCAGGGGAAATACTCCCAGCTTACCCAGCCTCTCCTTATAACTCAAACCCTCCAGTCCCAGTAACATCCTTGTCCATCTCTTCAGCACCCAGTTCAATTTAATAATACGCTTCCTATAGCTGGGCAACCTGAACTGTACACAGTACTCCAAAAGTGGCCTCACCAATGTCCTGTACAACTATAACATGATGTCCCAACTCTATACTCACTCAATGGTCTGAGTAGCTGAAGGTTAGCATGCCAAGCACTGCCTTTACCACTCTGTCTACCTGTGATGCAACTTCCAGTAAAATATGTATGTGAGCCTCTAGGTCTGTCTGTTCTACAACACTGCCCAGGGCCCTATGATTAACTGTGTAAGTCCTGCCCATGTTCATCTTGGCAGAATGCAACACTTTGCAATTATCCAAATTAAACTCCATCTGCCACTCCTCGGCCCAGTTCCAACTGTCCTGTTCATTGCAATCTTATCAATCAACCTGCACTCACAGCAAGTTTTTTTTTGAAGAAAGATAATTTGAGCAGAAAGGTGTGAAGATCAGTTGATCTGACAAGAGCATGCAATGAACTGTCTTTCTGCAGCAAGATCTCAGCAGTTAAAGGCTCAACAATTGAAAACCGCTTCTGTAATATATATAAATCAGTAGAGATCTAATTTGTCATACAAATAGAAGCTGTCTTGTGTTGTTCAATTCCTCAGTTCTCTGAGTAAATATTACAGCATGGTCTTTTTTTCCCTCCTGCTCTTCCTCCTTCCTCGTCCCAGAATTAGAAGAACCAATTCATCTTCACTTCAAGATGAAGATGAGGGCACTTTGGAATTCCGAAGAGGTGGTTTACGAGCAACAGCAGGACCCTGTTTGACAAGGTCTAAAGAGTTGTCATGCCCAAGGATGTGAGTAGGTCCCAAAGCTGCATTACTTTGCCAATATAGATACCAGCACGACTTGGGTGACTGGGCTGATTTCCAATTATGGGACGAGAAGGCTGTATATTTAACATGGGCAGTATAAAGTGACCAGAGAGCCATAGGTAAGTAAGCTTAAGGTGGGTGTCAGGAAAGGTGTGGAATCTAACTCAAAGATGGAACTGAGAAACATGTAGCACTTAAAATTAAAATAATGAATGGTCAATGTGACCTTCAAAAGTTATGATCTTGCTTGGTAACCTTACTGAATTCTTTTAAGAGGCGAAAAAGAGGGTAGGCACATGTTATGTTGTAGTTGTAATATATTTGGACTTGAGCCAAATAGTCTCTTCTTTTACTGTAGGTTTTATGTAATTCAATGTGAGCTGCAACCCAAGAAGAAAGAAGGCAGAGGTTTAATCTAATCCCACTTTCCAAATATTAGACAGGAAAACATTGCATCCCTGCCAGACGTTTCACTTGGGAAATTGCAGACAGTGTACTCAGAATTTGTGGATGATGTTTGCTCCCTGCCCAAGAGTGGGCCACTGTGAAATACCATTAATTGGTTCGACTTGGGAGTGGCAAAGTATATAGGACAGCTTTAATTGTTTTCATAAACGTGAGAATGGCCTGGTTCGGTGTCAGAATATTCTATTTTTATGTGATACTTCCTTAAAAGCTTCTGACAACATACGTTTTTCAGAGACCCGAGTGCACCTTTCTTTCAATGGACGACTGAACAGGTTTGCACTTGGCTCCAGGACGGTGGGCTTGGTCAGTATGTGGCTTTGGCCAGGCAATGGATTACTTCTGGGCAGACGCTGTTATCGGCAACACCTCAGGACCTAGAGAAGGTAAGTTGAAACCTGTAATTTGTGGTAAATTACAGGGCTCCTGATTTTATTATACAAAACGGTACCTCTGGTATGAAAGGTCAGTACTGAAAGAGTGCTGCACTGTTAGTGCCAGCTTTCAGATAAAACAGTAAACTAAGGTCCTGTCTGGCATCTTGGTGCATGCAAAAAAATCCGCAACTCTGCTTCCAAGAATAGCATACATGAAAAGTGCTTTGGGAGGTCATGATGACATGCACACTAGTTCTTTTACTTACGATGTGATTTATTTTCATAATTTGCGACGCAGGAGCTTGGTATTAAGCATCCGCTGCACAGAAAGAAAATCCAAGTGCTGCAGAAGTCTGTCAGTAATGGACAGAATGACAGCGCAGGGAAATTGGACCATATCTGGGTCACGCGTAAGTACACATCCCGTGAGAGAACAACGTTTGCACAAGGTTCATAGGGTTAATTGTTTGGGGTGCAATCAGCAATCCTATTTTAAATTTTGCCCAAAGTATAAAGGCTTTAGAGGGGCCACAAATGGTTTGTGAGAAAGCTTTCAGGGGTGAGGGACTTCAGTCCATGTGGATCATTTGGGGACAGTGGAGTTAAACACTTTTTTGAAAAAAGACGCAGAGGTGATTTCTTTTTTTCCCTGGAGGTATTCAGAATCATGAATACCTCCAGGTAAGAGTTGATTATAGAAAATTACCCATTGGAGGAAGGGTTAACAAACAGAGGACTCTCATTTAAAGTGATTAGGAAAAGAATCAAAGGTAACATGAGGATAATCTTCTTTAAGCCGTGACTTTTAAAGATATGGAATGCACTGCCTCGGGTTTGCTTTGGGGGCAGGTTCAATCGAGGTTTTCAAAACAAAATTGCACACACACCGAAAGGAAAAGCGTGGCGGAATATGGGTAAAGGGCAGAGGAGTGGGACTGGAAAAATTGTTCTTTGAAAGGCAGTACTTTCAATGGGCTGAAAAAGTGTTCTTTAATGCAATGAAAGGGCTTTGAAAAGTCTGTTCATTCTTTAGTTTCACCTCAAGCTGGTTAGCATATTCCCGAATGCATCTGTCATGAGCCAATGTTACCTAAAAAAAACATTTTAGAGTGCAATATGTAGAAAGTAAAATGGTTTAGACAATATACCATGATATATTTAGGAGTGGTGCTTGGTGCATAGAAAATCATTAGAAAATAGGAATAAAAATAGACCATTCAGCCCTTCAAGCCTGCTCCAGCATTCAATATGATCAGAGAGTCATACAGCACAGAAACGGACTCTTCAGTCCAATTTGTCCATGCTGACCAAGTTTCTCAAACTAATCTAGTCCCACTCGCCTACATTTGGCCCATGTCCCTCTTTCCTATTCATGTACCTGTCCAAATGTCTTTTAAATGTGTACCTGTACCTGCATCTATCATTTCTCCTGGCAGTTCATTCCACACATGAACCCTCTCTGTATGAAAAAGTTGCATCTCAGGTCCCTTTTAAATTTTTCTCTTCTCACCTTAAAGTTATACCCTCTAGTTGTGAACTCCCCTACCCTATGGAAAAGGCCTTTGCTATTCAACTTATCTGTGCCTCTCGTGATTTTATAAACCCCTATAACGTCACCCCTCAAACACCTACAATCCAGTAAAAAGTCCCAGCATATCCAGCCTTCCTTATAACTCAAGCCTCCAATCCCAGTAACATCCTTGTAAATCTTTTTTGTGCCCTCTCCAATTGAATAAAAACTTGTTCTGAGGAAAGGTCACCGGACCTGAAACGTTAACTCTGATTTTTCTTCACAGATGCTGCCAGACCTACTGAGCTTTTCCAGTAATTTCTATTTTTATTCCTGATTCACAGCAATTTCGTTTTTTATTTAAAAAAGACATGGCTGATCATGCAACTTGATGCCATGTTCCTGATTTTGCTTTGTACCCTTTGATATCTTTATCCTTAAGAGGAAGAGGTGCAATTTGATTCATACAGCTGGTGGAGTTATCACACAAAGATCTGTTTCAATTGCTGAATCACTCTACCATCTGTTAGTAATCTGGTTTAAGGATTGACATGACTTTGAAACACAAATGTTTGTGTTAGGTTAAAACGCGGTCATTACGTTTACAAAGTTAAAAGGATTCGGTTTAAAAACTGTCTCTTCGCATGAAAAAGAATTGGCTTAATTTTGAGACATCTTGAAGAAATGAGTACAATTATTGAAAGCTTTTCATGATGATCAATTCAGACTTGGGGGGATAGCAAGTTTTGTCATTGGGGCCAGTTTCCAGTGAGATATGTTTTAAACTAGAGACTGAATTTATGCCGGATGTAATTTATGCTTAAACTTAATGAAATTTTTGTGCTAGTTCCACAAGTTGCAACAGAATTGCATTAAAATGCATAAATTTCTGATGAAGGGTCTAGGCCCGAAACGTCAGCCTTTCTGCTCCTATGATGCTGCTTGGCCTGCTGTGTTCATCCAGCTCTGCACCTTGTTGTCTCGGATTCTCCAGCATCTGCAGTTCCTACTATCTCTGCATTAAAATGAATGAATGTTACCAAGTGGGACTATTACACAGGATATACAGTACAGCAACAGGCCATCTGGCACAACTGGTCTGTACCAGCATTTATGCTCCAGTTGAACCTCCTCTTTCCTTCCTCAATTAACACAGTTTCCCTATTACTTTCTCCCACAAATGCTTGTCGCGCTTACCCTGAAGTGCATCTGTGCTGTTTGTTTCAGCCTCTCCCTCTCCTTGTGAATTCCTACATTGTCACCGATGTCTTGAGTCAAAACATTTCTTCTGAACTTGCTTTCATCTTTCTGAGACCATCAAACCCATGCTGTTCTTTAATTTATTACATCTCCAGGTTAAATGAGTCTTTAGGGCTATGGTTAAAAAAAAATCATGGAATCACTTCCCTTGATATACATACTTGATTTAAGCAAAAATGAACATAGGGCAGAAGAGTCATTTTAAGCTTTCAGGTTTTCAGGTTGTTTAATGTTGCCCGTATCAAGTCAGAAGAAATTTTAGGACTGCCCCTACCAGTTTTTGTGGTCATTCCTCTATGACAAATTGCTAAAGATGCTAGCCATTACGTTGGATGAGGCCATTGGCTCTGTTAGAAAATCTTGAACACTGACCTCAAAATTCAATTCCTGGAGGCCAAACTCAAATAGGATTGATTTGCACAGTTTCTGCTGTGTCTGAAATAAGATGTAACTTTGAAAATGCTGGCGTTTTGGCATGTAGTGTGGGACACCTTGCATTGGAGAGCTTTACCACTATGATCACAGCTTCGTTAATGCTACTTATTCAGATGAATTCATTGTGTTGGAAGAAAATAAAATTAAAAGTGTGCAGCTGTTGAATAAAAGCAGAATACGCTGTAAATATTTAACAGGCCTGGCAGCACCTATGGAAAGAGAAACAGCTTTGATGCTTCAAGTTGTTGATATCTCTTTGAAGGTGGAAGTAAAACAACTTGCAATAAACAATGTATCAGCAGCAGAGGAGGGAGAGAGGAAAAGAGAAGGGAAGAGGGTATAAGTGAGTAAATGGTATCTTGTTGCAAAGTGTTAGTGTCCCTGGATACATCTCATCTGTCCAGCTATAAGTTATGGCACATTTGAACGCGTTGATTAAAATAAGTACACGTGAGGAACTAGTGAAAGTGATTTTATAAGAGAGTGGAGTTTGTCTGTTGCTTGTATTTGAACTGTATTGATCTTTCAATACCGTCTCTTCTGATGTTCTCAGGTTGGCTTGATGACATTGGCTTACCTCAATACAAAGATCAATTCAATGAAGCCAGAGTGGATGGGAGAGTCCTCCAGTACTTGACTGTGGTGAGTTACCTCACTGGCAGAATTAGAAACTTATGATGATCAAATTGTAAAGAGGAATCTAAGCTTCTTGAAAATGCATGTTCAAGATTCAGACAATTTACAGCTACACTGCTTAAAAGCATCACTTGACAATGTCATAACAGATCACAACAACTCACTGTGTAGAAACATTTCTTCACATCTCCCCTCTGGTTCTTTTGCCAATGAAACGAAGCCTTTGTCACATTGTCATCAACTCTGCTACCAGAAACCAGCCCTTTTACGGTAGGAAAATTATTCTTAATTTCAAATACCAATAAAATCCCCTAATCTCATTTGCTCAAAGGACAGCAACCCCATATTCTCCAAGCTCTCCAGATAACATATCCCTTTCATCTTTGGTATCATTCTAATATGTCTCTTCTGCATACACTCTGAGACTTTTCATACCTTTCCTATGCTGTGGGCCCAGAATTCTACACCATGTCAACACACCTTGTGACTTCAAGGTTGAGTATAACAACATCGTTATTCTGGCACACTGAACCTTTTCTGTAAAGCCGAGGGTCTTGTATATTGTTAATGGTCTTTTCAACTTGACATATCACCTTCAAATACATGTGTGTACACAGGTCAACTGTAAAAACCCTAACAGTGAAGGAAAAGTTAAAAAAGAACTTCCACTGGGAACGCATGTAGTGGTTAGTCTTGAATCTTTATAACACAGTGCTGGAGTAGAGTGTATTGGCAATGAGCCATTGTGGAACTGGTTCCTTAGAATGCACCACCAGCAGGATAGAGGAGCATAGAACAGTGCAGCACAGTACAGGCCCTTTGGCCCACGATGTTATGCCAAACTTTTACCCTAATCCTAAGGTCTATCTAACCTCCACCGCTACCTTATACTATCATCCATATGCCTATCTAATAGCCGCTTAAGTGCCCCTAATGAGGCCGACTCCACTACCCTCTCCGGCAATGCATTCCACGCCCCGACCACTCTCTGTGTAAAGAACTTACCTCTGACGTCTCCCCTATATCTACCTCCACTCACTTTAAAACTATGCTCTCTCGTAATAGCTACCTATTAGGAAGGTAGGAAAAAGTCTCTGGCTGTCTACTTTATCTATACCTCTGATCATTTTGTACACCTCTATCAAGTCACCTCTCATCCTTCGTCGTTCTAAAGAGAAAAGCCCTAGCGCTCTCAACCTTTCCTCGTAAGACCTTCCCTCCGTTCCAGGCAACATCCTGGTAAATCTCCTCTGCACCTTTTCCAACGCTTCCACATCTTTCCTGTAATGAGGCAACCAGAACTGGACACAATACTCCAGATGTGGCTGAACCAGGCTTTTGTATAGCTGAAGCATAACTTCACGGCTCTTGACCTCAATCCCTCTATTAATGAAAGCTAACACACCGTACGCCTTCTTAACAACTCTATCCACCTGGGTGGCAGCTTTCGGGGAACTGTGGACATGAACCCCAAGATCCGTCTGCTCCTCCACACTGCCAAGAATCTTTCTGCTAACCCTGTATTCTGCTTTCAAGTTTTTCCTTCCAAAATGAATCATCTCACAGTTTTCAGGGTTAAACTCCATCTGCCACTTCTCAGCCCAGCTCTGCATCCTATCAATGTCCCTTTGTAACCTAGAACAGCCCTCCGCACTGTCCACAACTCGACCCACCTTCGTACCGTCCGCGAACTTACTAATCCACCCTTCCACTCCTACATCCAAATCATTTACAAAAATCACAAAAAGAAGAGGACCCAGAACAGATCCTTGTGGTACACCACTCGTAACTGAGCACCATGTTGAATATTTTCTGTCCACTACCACCCTTTGTCTTCTAAGTGTCAGCCAATTCTGAATCCAATCTGTCACATTTCCCCCTATCCCATGCCTCCTTACCTTCTGCATGAGCCTACCAAGGGGAACCTTATCAAACGCCTTACTTAAATCCATGTATACCACATCCACTGCTCTACTTTCATCCACGTGTTTGGTCACCTCTTCAAAGAATTCAATAAGGTTTGTGAGGCATGATCTACCCCTCACAAATCCATGCTGACTATCACGAATCAAACTGTGCCTATCCAAGTAATCATAAATCCTATCTCTCGGAGCCCTTTCCAATAATTTGCCCACCACTGACGTAAGACTGACTGGCCTGTAATTTCTGGGGTTATCCTTATTCCCTTTTTTGAACAAGGGAACGATGTTTGCCTCTCTCCAATCTTCCGGCACTATACCCGTGGACAGTGAGGATGAAAAGATAATCGCCAAAAGCCCTGCAATCTCTTCCCTCACTTCCCATAGAATCCTTGGATAAATCCCATCAGTCCCGGGGGACTTATTTATCTTCAACTTCCTCAAAATTCCTAGCACATCTTCCTTACTAACAGCAACTTCCTCTAGCCTACCAGCCTGTTTCACACTGTCCTCCTGTACAATTAGGTCCCTCTCAGTTGTGAATATTGAAGAAAAGAATTCATTAAGGACCTCTCCTATCTCTTTAGGCTCCATGCACAAATTCCCTTTATAATCCTTGATCAGCCCTACCTTTTCTCTGGTCATTCTCTTATTCCTCACGTATGTGTAAAAATCCTTGGAGTTTTCCTTGATCCCATCTGCCAAGGTTTTCTCATGCCCCCTGATAGCTCTCCTAAGCCCTTTCTTCAGCTCCTTCCTGGATAACTTGTATCCCTCTAGAGCCTTTTCCGTTCCTTGTTTCCTAAACCTTACGTAAGCATCCTTCTTCCTCTTAACCAGTCGTTTGACCTCTCCTGAGAACCAAGGCTCCCTCACTCGACCACATCTTCCCTGCCTGCTAGGGACAAACATATCGAGCACATGCAGTATGCATTCTTTAAACAATCTCCACATTTCAATAGTGCTCTTCCCTGACAGCATCTGTTCCCATTTTATGTTACCCATTTCTAGCCTAACAGAATTGTAATTACCCTTCCCCCAATCATAAACCTTACCCTGCTGTATGTACCTATCCTTTTCCATGACTATTGTAAAAATAACAGAGTTATGATGGACCAGTTGACCAAATACTGCCCATATTAGTAAGATTCAGGTACTATCTTGAGATAGTAGGAACTGCATTGTTCTTGATATACTTAACAGCATCTGACTGAAGTGTGATCTCTTTTTCTTTTGCAGAATGACCTTCTGTTTCTAAAAGTTACCAGTCAGCTGCATCACCTTAGTATTAAGTGTGCCATTCATGTACTACATGCCAATAAGTTCCATCCTAACTGCCTTCGACGAAGGCCTTCTGATGAGGTGAGTGTGCTTCCCTTAATTGTTGGCAAGTTATGCTAGCTATCGACTGAAAGATGGAGGGTGGGTTTCATTTCTGGTGCCTTTGTGAGAGGCATCATCTAGCTATAACAGAGCCATCTATTTGAGAGAATAGCATATCGGCTCTGAAAGCTGTCTCATCCACTTAAAGTACAATCTTGTAGAATTCCTAAAAGGCCTCTGATCCATGCTGACCAGGGATTCCCTTTTGCATTCTCCCTCATTCCCAGCCATGCTTCACACAGCTGTGGTCAGCGGGTAAGGATCTCATCTCTGCCTTGGAAGCTGGTGGATTTGAGTTCCATTCCAGTGACTTGAGCATAAAATCTAAAGGGGACACTCCAGTTCTGTAGCTAAGGAGAGCTCCACTGTCAAAAGTATTGTCTCCTTGGGGACGCAGTGGTGTTGTGCTAATGTCATTGGTGTAGTAACCTAGGAACAATATTTTGGGTACAGGAATTTAAATCCCACCATGGTAAATTTGAATTCAATAAATATCAGGATTAAAGTGCTGCTTAATGGTTATGATGTGACCATTGGTGTAAAGACCCATCATGTTCACTAATGTCCTTTAGCAAAGGAAACCTGCCATTCTTACCCAGTCTGAACCACAGTAATTTGGTTGACTCTTAACAGCCCATTGGGATCAGCAATGATTATTGACTTAGCTAACAATGCCCACGTTCCATGAACAAATAAGCAAAGAGAAAAGAAAAAGTCCCTCAAATGTGACATTAAACCAAGGCCCCTATCTGACCCCTCAGGTGATTGTGAAAGATCCAAAGCCAGTAGTTCTAAGAAGAGCTTGCAAGCTCACACCAGTGTCCCTCAACCCACAACTAACATCAGTGAATTGTAAGAATGTCAATGGGACCTTGCTGCGTGCCTGCAGTTGAGGTGACATCAGACTTTCTCGTACTATTCTCTTCTCCTGCACCAATACTCCTTCTGACTCAACCCCCAACCACGTCACCTTGGTTCCATTGTCAGAACATAGTGCTGAAACAAACCTTTATTCCACAAGAGATTGGCAAGATGCTAAAGTACTCAGGAATTGTTTGTGGAGAACGTAACTTTTGAAGATCGTAACAACTCAATTTTTTTTAACCAAAAAATGTTGTTTTGTGATCAGAATCACACCTCTCCATCTGATGTGGTCCAGTGGTCGAATCATCGGGTGATGGAATGGCTGAGGTCGGTGGATCTCGCAGAATATGCACCAAACCTTCGAGGGAGTGGTGTACACGGTGGTCTTGTTGTAAGTGCATCAGTACAAACGTCTCTTGAGCAGCCTTCTTCATTTTCAGTGATTAATGTACACCATTGTTGTTAAACAGACACTAGTTTAGAACAGTATCTTTTATAGGCCTTTCAAAATGGTAAAAACAACCCAAAGTACTTCGTGGGAGCATTATTGACAAAATTTGATACTAAGCCATGTAAGGTGATATTAAAGCTTAATATCAAAGCTTGGTCAAAGAGTTAGGTTTTAAGGAACAATTTAAATGAAATGAGAGAAAGAAGTGCAGAGGTTTAGGCAGGGAATTCTGACACTTAGGGCCTGGAAAACCGTCAATGGAGGTGTGATTAAAATCAGGGATGTGGAAAAAGATTAGAATTGCAAATATCTGAGGTTTGTGGGGCCGGAAGGCATTACAATGATAGGGAAGGGAGAAGCCATACAAGGATTGGAAGTTGAGGGTTGGAATTTTAAAACCAAGAACTTGGGTAGGGATGTGGCGTGTGGCATGGGTCATGCAGTAGGTGGTTGGTACGTTGCCAGTTTATGCTTTCAATTTGATAACCTCTCATCCAATGATATGAATAAAAGGCAGGATGAAATGCATATCTGTTAACTCAGTCCTTGTGTTTTTCATGTAGATATTAGAGCCACGCTTTAACTCTGAAACAATGGCTTTGCTCCTCAATATCCCACCACAGAAGACATTGCTTCGGCGGCACCTGACCACACACTTCAACCTATTGATTGGTCCAGAAGCTCAACATGAGAAGAGAGAGTTAATCGAATCAAGTAGTTACACGCCCCTGAACACTACAGCGAAAGTGAGGGTAGGTATACAATCCTGCTCTGTCACACGCTGCATGTCACTGAGCAATAGGGACACCTCACTGTACAAGACAAATATTGTAATCAAATTACTTTCTCAAAGTAACTATGACTCAACATGTCTAGTTGCTAAGTTTCTTTCATTTGTTTGCTAAGTGAATCAAATTTATTGCGGTTGACTAACTAACTAACATTCAAACCTGCGAACCCCACCCTCTAGAAGGACAAAGGCACCAGATGCAAGTTGTTCTGCAAGTCCCAATACATTCTGAAGTGGAATTACATCATTATTCCTTCACCATCACTGGATCAAAATCCAGGAAATCTGTCTCTGACACCACTTTGGGAGCAGATACACCTCAAGGACTGCAACATTTCAGTAGGGTGGCTCACCACCCCATCGAAAACAACTAAGGATGGACTATAAATGTTGACCATGTCAGCTACACCCGGTGTTTGCATTTAGAAAAACGAGCTCAACCCTGAGAGTTCAAAGACTTGGGTCTACTTTTTGGTTGAGCTATCCTAGCTACAATTAGACTTTTTAAACAATTGGTATGCTAAATGAGAGTTCTATATGGAAATGGAGGCTGAAAATTGATACACATGGGCTTGTCTTTTGGAGATAAAACAAATTCCAAGTGTAGCAATATAGAAGCGTCACGTCTGTAATGGCATTGGACCAGCTGCTAAATTCAGAGTGATCCTTACTCAGCGTTCACTGCAGGATAGCAAGAACTGCAGATTCTGGAGCTGGAGGAACACAGCAGGCCAGGCAGCATCAGAGGAGCAGGAAATAGCAACATTTCAGGTCAGGACCTTGCGTCAGGACTGACCTGGTGTGTTCCTCCAGCTCCACACTATATTGACCAGCCTTCCCTGCAGGCTTTCAACTTCTGCAGTGTATTAATTAGGGGCTTAATTTTTGCTGAAGGACTTTTTTAAAACAGTTGAGCAGAGCAGGTGTCAGGCCTATCTTACCCGGGATTCTTTAGTAGCACCTACACAGGTGGAGTGGCATTCGTTCCTATGGAACTTGGAGTAGTGGGATTGGTACCTCATTATTGTCTTAGATTCTTCCTCCAAAAATTCAAACCGCCACTCAATTTCATAGCCCATGACATGTTGCCTGCAAACCTGTCTATTCTACTGTTCACCTTTCCAGACTCTCATCTTACACCTTCCATAGTCTTGGATTCGTACAAAACTCTGCCCCTTATCTTAACACACACCAAGTCCCGGTTCACCTTTCACTTCTGTATTTAGTGTTTTGCTCTTGAACCAACAATGCCTCAAGGTTATGATTTTTTTTCCCCTCATTTTCAAATCCTCCCATTGCTTCATTCTACTCCTGGCTTTCTAATCACCTGATTTCCACAACCTTAGATATATTGGCACCTTTCCAATTCTGTACTAATGCCTGCCCTAATTTAAATTGCTTAACTCTTGCAGCCATGTCTTCAGCTGTCTTGAACCTTGGCTTGCAATATCCCCATTAAATCGCTCTGCTGCTTTACTACTTTCTCATCATTCAAGATGCTTTTGGTAGCCAGTCCTACCAGTCTTCCAAACTTCTCTTAAACTCAATTTGTTTGATGAGACACTTCAGGACATTTTATTACCTCAGAGGCATCATCTCAGTATGTTGTTGGAAAATACCTATGGGTCACAACTGATGAAGCGAGTGATCCTCAATAAATGGTCAGTGGAGATGAGATTGACACAAGTAGCTCAACCTTGAATATGTAAATGAGATCTGATGACCCATTCACAGTCATCCTCAGGCCTCTTGCTTCTGGCCAAGGCAATGTATAGCATCTGTAATATAGAAACAGATCATTTAGTCCAAGTGCTAGCAATGACAGATCCTGTTTTGCATCATCAGCATATCGGTTTATTCTTTTCTCCCTTGTGTTTATCATGCTCTCACTTCATTGCTCTTCGCCTCAATCAAACCATCCAGTAGTGGGGCCTAAAAATATGACCAGACTATATTCTATGTTCAGTAGGGCAGAAGTCTTTTAAAAATCTGAAACCATTTTGCTTGCACAGACAATGGTATAGACTCTACAAGTTTTTTTTCAGAACCAATTACTGACCTGGAGGATACATAGTAATGGTAGAAAAATTGTCTGGCTAGAGATCATGTGGATTTAGGTGGGATGAGGGATACGTCATGGTACACAAGGTAGTTGGATTTACCAGATGGTCTTTATTTATCTGGCATTACTCATGTCTCTAAGTAACAGGCATAACAGAAAATAGAGGGAGATTGAATCATTGCTTACAGATTCAGAAGTCCATATTTACTGAAACTTGTACAGCAACATTTATAAGTCTAAGTCCCAATGTGCTTTGCATCTGATGAAGTACTATTGAAATACAGTCTTTGTTATAATGGAAGTGTGGCAACCAGCTTGCAGAGTAAGCTTCCACAAATTGAAATGTGATAATGACCTTATAATTTGTATTCTATTGCTGTTGGTTGATGGATAGATATTAGTCCCATAGTCTGGAGAGAACTGGTTTTTGACTCATCTTGGAATCTTTTAGGTCCATCGGAGACAACTTGACATCTTGTTGGAAAGAATTGGGATCTCTGACAGTACGTTGCTTTGCAATGTTCTAATGGCGTGCTAACCTAGATTACATGCTCAAGTGTCTGGAATCAGACTTAAAGCCACAGTCTGTGGAATGAGAGAATGCTATCCAGTTTAATGATGGTTGATAACTGATTTATCTTTGACTATGGATTGATCTCTCTCTCTCTCTCTCTCTCTCTCTCTCTTTTTCCAGCCAAAGAAACTTGGCTTTTCTCATTTTGGAAATCTCAGGAAGAAGAAGCTTGATGAGTCAAGTGATTACCTTTGTCCTCCAGGCATGGTTCATCCAGCAACCAATGGTTCCCAGAGGAACTGTACAGGATACAAAGCAAAGAAGGTTGTGGCAGACAGGGAATTGAACAGCCTGGAGCAGGTGGGGAATCTGAAGTGTTAATCTGCCTCAGCAGGAGATCCTAGGAAGCCAAGGTTTTAAAAAGATAACGTTTGGTAACCTCAAGACAGTGAAGCACTGGGCATGACATCATTCGCTAATGTACTAACATGACTCTGGAGGAATCATCCAGAAAACTCAAGCCAAAGTTACGATTTAACCATCAAGCAACAGTTTGCGTGCGGATTAATAACAATGTGGTGTCTTACTATAACCCACCATTTTCACATTAACTCTTTAAGTGAAGAGAATTGTGTGTTTCACTAAAACCATTCTACTTGTACAGAATCAATGGAAATATATATTTTGGCATGAGAAATCGTATAGATATATTTCATATGTAATTCTAGAAGGTTAAATTCTGTATAAAATGTGTTTTAATATTTACACACAATGTATGTATTTTATATTTATAATTTTGAGAGGAAATTATGTTACATGACCACCTAGTATTTGACACTAAATGACGTCTGATGAGATGGGGCCATTCTGTGCCTTAATTATCAGAGATTTCCTCCGTCCCAGTCTCAGTGTAGCTTTTGACAGCATTGCAGCTGCAGAAATGTCAGTTCCAAGGTAATTCCTGGAAATTTTGAGTCCAATGCCAAAAGACAGTCTATAGAGATTGACGTCCCAAGTGGAGATCTGATTGAATGACCCCATATATGGGGATCTACCAGGGCAAATGGAATAATCTGTGATACTTCAGAATGAATAGATCAGAAATCTACGTGCATGAAGCTTGTAGAATTCCAATGAATACAGGAGAGCAACATCTTTAAATACAGCTGTTCCCCAGGCCACGGACAAAGAAACTGTCAGCATTTCCCCTTTGGGTGCCAAGTGATTTAATAGTATTCACTTATGGTATCCTCTTGATCCAAGATATTTCTCATTTTCTTAACCTGCTGTAATGTTATTAAAATTTTCTGTTGAATCTCCCAGTTTTAGTGGAAAGTTTGCATAGAAAACAATTTGATCTTTAAAGGGAGGGATATTTGTCCTTGTTCACAAGTCAATGTAATCTCTATCCCTGTGACAGAATTGTCACTTTATTGCTGCCGCTCTCTTACATTCTGCAAATTGCGAATATAGTGCTCCAAGTTCAGGTGTGATCAAAGTTAATGTGGGAGAACCACATGGAATGCACTAAATTCCGGCTATTCCCACCACATGGTCCTGTGATGCGACATTCCCTTAGAATCATACAATACAGGAGCGACCCTTCAGCCCGCCTGGTTCTATCTGATTTTTATTTTAAAATTACACTTCTGTTCCTGACACATGATATTTATCCAGAACTGTAATGAGGTATTTTCAGTCCTGCTGCAAACTTTGCAACAAAGTCATGATGTAAATCGCAAATGATCACATTTTGGCTCCAGAGTGTTATATCTGAGGTTTTGCAGGAATAGGAACACGTGTTGTACTATATCAGTGTCATTTGCCAAAAATAGATCTAAACAAGTAAGTATGGTAAATGCCAGTTTGTTTATTTGTTTGTAGGATTTTCTGCCAACTTTGAGTTATATTGGAGTCAATGTAACATTCTATCTCTGAAACATCAGAATAATGTTAAGTCTGCAATAATCTATGGCTCTGTACAATGTAATTATGAACTTTGTTGTATTGCAGAGGAGTGTGGGAGACGAGAAAGAACCAAATATTGGGGTGGCAGTTTGTGGAACAGAGTGAGGCAGGAAACAAACATACTAAAAGATTAATTGCAGTTTAAATAAATCCATTGAACTAGTTTTTTTAAGACACCTCAAATCAGGAGGCCTAAATTGTTGCTCTTATGCCCAAACATTGCAATGCAACCCTTGAGAACGAGGTGACCCCATTTAACTTACTTGTATTTGAGGTGCCTTAAGGTTTGGGAAAGGTGCTGCAGATAACTACAAAAATATCAGAAACTTGAGATATGTGCAAATAAAGGTGAATATGATTTAATTTTGACTATTTGAACTCCACAGTTCCCTACTCTCTCTCACTGTCCAGACCAGAAAGGGTAAAAGCAAAACTTAAAATTTTTATAAAATGAGTTTAATATACAAGCTGACACCCATTTAAAACACAGCTGTTTTTAAAGAATAGTTATTTCCCTAATTGACACATTTATTAAAAATTATGTTTATATCTTTTTCAATGGCATTGATAATAGTTTGAGTTTTTAAAAATTCACCTCTAATCCCTGATTTTAAGGACTATATAAAATGTTCTGATTTTGTTTTTACAAAATTGCGAATAAAGAGATTCTTCTTGGTAAGTTCTGCTTTGTTTCATTTTATACTGGGGATGGGGCAAGAGGGGTGTTTGGAAATAAGAGGTCATCTCAGTAAGTGCATGGAATAGAAGATTATGCAGATAAGGGTGAGACAAAGAGAAAGGGAAGGAATTTCATGAAGTATTAACACTGGTATAGACCAAGAGAAGCAAAAAGGCCTTTGAGTGTAGTAAACTCATCACCATCTTTGGCTGTATCGCACATCCACCATTTTTATTGCTGACATTTTTTTCATTTAAAGCCTTGATGTGAAATGTTTTCACAGAATTTGCTGACATTTGACAGGTTGGAAAGTGTTCCCTTGTGGAGCAACGCCGTGATAAGTACTGTTCTCCTTCAAGTGCTTGCACTGTATTTGGCTCCATTATGTTAACGTGGGCATTAATTTCTTTTTAATACACTTGTGGGACATGGACATTGCTGGCTTGGCCAGCATTTATTGCCCATCCCTACTTGCCCTTGAGACGGTGGTGGTGAGTTGCCTTGAACGGCAGCAGCCCCTGTGTTGTAGATTGGCCAACAATATATTTAAGGAGGGAGTTCCAGGATTTTGACTCTGCTACAGTGAAGGAATGGCAATACATTTCCATGTCAAGACAGCGAGTGGATTGTAGGAAAACTGGTGGAGATCTCATATTTCTGTCCTTGTCCTTCTGTAGATGGAAATAATCATGGGTTTGGAAGGTACTAGCTAATGATCTTTTTGGCAAATTTCTGCAGTGCATCTTGTAGATAGTATGTGCTGCTACTACTGAGTGTCATTGGTCATGTGATTGAATATTTATGGTTTTAGGCCAATAAAGCTGGCTGCTTTGTCCTTGATAGTTCAAACTTGAGTGTTTTTGGAGCTGCATTTATACAGGCAAGTGTGGAGTAATCCATTACAAATTTGACTTGTGCCTTTGTAGATAGTGGGCAGGTTTTGGGGGGTCAGGAGGTAAGTTACTCACTGCAGTATTCCTAGCCTCTGACTGGCTCTTGAAGCCATTGTATTTTTATGGCAAGTCGAGCTGAGTTTCAGGTCAATGGTAGCTCCCAGGATGTTGATAGTGGGGGATTCCATATTGGTAATGTCATTGAATTGCTTGGGCTCCTTGATGCCATACTTGGTCAAATGTGCCCTTGATGTCAAGGGCTGTCACACTCACCTCACCTCTGGAATTCAGCTCTTTTGTTCATGTTTGAACCAAGGCTGTAATGAGGTCAAGAGCTGAGTGGCCCTGACAGAACCCAAACTGAGCAGGTGCTGCTTGACAGCACTGTTGATGACACCTTCCATCACTTTACTAATGATTGAGAGTAAACTCATGGGGTCGTAATTGGCCGGGTTGGATTTGGCCTGCTTTTTGTGCACAGGACATACCTGAGCAATTTCCACATTGTCAGGTAGATATCAGTATTGCAACTGTACTGGAACAGCTTAGCTAGGAGCATAGAAAGTTATGGAGCACCGATCTTCAGTACTATTGCTGGAGTGTTGTAGGGCCCATAACTTTTGCAGTATCCTGTGTCTCCAACCGTTTCATGATATCACATGGAGTGAATTGAATTGTTTGAAGTCTGGCATCTAGTGATACCCTGACTTGGTGGTAATGGTTGAATGAGAGATGTGCCAGTCCATGAGAGTACAGATTGTGTTGGAGTGCAATTCTGCCGCTGCTGATGGCCCACAGTGCCTTTTGGATGTCCAGTCTTGAATTGCTAGATCTATTTGAAGTCTGACATATTTTTAACTGGCTTAAAAGCTTTTCTAAAACAGGGCGTAGGGAGATATTTTGCTCAAGTGGATTGACCATTCTGCAGAACTATAGAGGTTTACAGTACAAATGGAAGCCTTTGCCCCATTGTATCTGTTGTCAGGTTTTTACAAGAACTAGGGGATGTTGGTTAAAAGTTCTGTTGGCTGGATGACTAGTTTGTGATGCAGAGTGATATCAACAGCACCGATTCAATTCCTACACCAGCTGAAGTTACCATGAAGGACTCTCCTGCTCAATCTCTCCCTTTGCCTGAGGCATGGTGACCCTGTGCTTAAACCACCACCAGTCATCTCTAATGTGAGAGCAGCCCTATGGTACAACTATGACTACTTTACTAGAACGAGGAGTTTGGCTAGTTCAGTTGGCTGGTACTAGAACAATGTAAAATTTAGCTCCATGCCGCACTCTGTAAAGCCATGGGGGTGGCCATATTGATTTGGAGATCATGGTGAATTGTGAAAAATGTACTCAGGCAAGTTACTCAAGGTGATAAGTGAAAAATTAGAGTAATCAGGCAGAAGAGACAAAGTAGACAAAGTTTTGGAATATGTTGCAAGTCAGTGGGTAGGACTTAGAGACAGTTCCATCGTCCCTGGATGAAGACATGAGAAAGTGGACATGGAAAGGTCAGATTATGAGGGTAAGGTGAGATTTAGAGATACCATGGAAAGATGAATTGAGGAAAATAGTGGATAGATGGGATAATTGATGTAGCTTAAGTATGGTTGGATGGGGTAGATGGATATTGCAATTTGTTTGGCTTGAGAAATGTGGCTAGGAAGAGGAAAAGAGATGTTTTGTTTAGTTGGAACTCAGGGATGTGGTAGGGAGACATGTTTGAGGGATGTGATAAGTTGGACGTACTGTGATGTATCAAAACCACTCTTGCATTCTAATGTTCACTTTAAGTTCCAACAGACTGTCTTCATTCAGTTTGCTGTCTCTGAAAATGTTTGCTGACCATAAGTTGGGTGTTAATCAACTGCTAAGAAAGGAAGATTCAAATCCTGTTGGTTAGCAGCAGCTTGAGATTCAGTGAGTTCAGTGGATTTGCCTTTTGCCTTGGGGCCTTAGGTTACTGGAAACATTAATGACTTGGAAGGTTTTTTTCTTCATATTTAAAAGTTGGCATTATCTGAGAAACCAGAGTGAGGAATCCAGAAGTGAAACTTTTTTTTTTTCCCTCTGGCATGTGGCACCTTCCAAAGCTAACCTGCAGCTAGTGCTATGGAGTTAATTTCCTTTCTATGTGGGACAAATAGTATAACATGCTTGGCAATGAATCTATTATTTTAAATCTCCCTTTTTCTACATTTTCATTTATCCATTGTCCCATCAGAACCCACACTGCCAAGACTCAAGTCAGACTCGATTACACCAACGATATACAAATAAATCCATAATTATATTTTCCACAAAATGCTGCTTATATTTGAAAGCTTAAGTTGCAAGATTTTGACAAATATGTTGGACGAATCACTTGGCGCATGTTGCACCATTCTGTTAAATTTAATTTAACAATGTAAGAGCTAGAAGCTGGAGTAGTCTGGGCCCTGGGATCTCTACCAATCAATCAAATCATTTATTGACCCAAGTTACATCTTCCTGCAGAGTCCCCATATCCCTCCATCACCTCAGAGTCCAAATATTTTTAACATTCTTGAGAGGAACAGGTCACTTAGAACCATCTCTGTCCATTTCTGTGACGTTTTGAACTTAACAGTTTGATGTTAGCTCAATAAATATAAAGGAATTTAAATTATGGGTATCTTAGTCAACTCAATCCCAAATAAGTACGACTAATCGAATAGTAATCAAGAAGTCAAATAGAATTTTGATCAAAAGCATGGGTCATAAGTAAGGAGATGATGATCGCAGAACTGTGCTAAACAGGAAGAGGCTATTCAATCCATTGTTTCTGTGGTAGTTCTTTGAACAAGTAACTCAATAGTTCCTCCTTCCTCTTCTTACCCATAAACTCTGCAAATTTTCCTTCCCTCCAGGTCTTTAACCAACTCCCTTTTGAAAATATTTGCTCCAGGACCCTTTCGAGCAGCATATTCCAGATTATGATGACACACAGTGCATAAGAATATCCTCCTCTACTCCCTTTTTGGCTCTTTTACCAATTACCTGAAATCTCTGACTTTAGGTTATTAATCTTCCATCAGTAAACTTTGCACAATTGGATTTTGAACATCTCCATTAAATAATTCCATTCTCAATCAGGAAAGAAAATGCCGTGCAGCTAAATAGTTCTTGTACCACTTTGGTGTTTCACTGAGGGTGGGCACGCAATTATGACATCTCTTTGGTCAAGCAGAAGTTTAATGATATTCCGTAGCAATCGTTATGATTTGTACCCATGAGTTACATAAATGGGAATTTTCTCATCGGTGTACAATTTCATTCCTTGGGAAATCAAGGCAGACTTGATTCCTACAGTCAACAAAAGTTGACTCGATCTATTCTCCCAGCAAACCATGAACCTGTTACAAAACTAGCATCAGGTTCAGGGGAAAGAATTCAGAAATCAGATCAGGTTTTCTGTTGTGACTCAGCTTTGATATGAAATGATACCTGGTTTTACAGATGGAAGATTCTGAAAGGGCAGTTCAACAGATAGAAGCATTCTCAGAAGGCATTAACAACCTCACAGTGAGTACAGCACATGACTTAAAAACATCATTCTAATTTTATTTTGTGGTGTGGAATCCAAACTCTCTTACTAACACTGCTTCTGACAACGTCACGACTGTGCGGATTGCTAACAAGGTGACTTCTCAGCATGTCAGAACCTACTGTATCTTGAATCCACTATGATTAAATGAAAATTTGTCCAGTTACCTTCCCCATCCAAATGAATATAAATACTGGAGAAGACCATCAACTGTTCAAGCTTGTTCTGATGTTTACTAAGTTCATGATTAACTCCAGAGATCAATTCCACCTTTGTGCATTATTCTTGATTATCAATGGAAAATGTCTTTGACAGTGTGATCAGCGGCACTTACATAGCAGTAACCTCCTCATTGATGCTTAGTTTAGATTATGCCGAGACCATTTGGCTCCTGACCTCATTACAACAGCTCTAAATGAACATGAGCAGAGTGACTGTCCTCAACATTAAGGCAGCGTTTGAGTGAGTGTCACATCAGGAGGCCTAGCTAAAAACTGGAGCCAATGGGAATTGGGGCGTAAGCTCTCCAGTGGTTGG